AAGATGGAACAATAGGCTGAGCGCCGTGGATTTACCTTGCTGCCTGGGATACAGCTGGAAGACAGCAGCGCCCGTATCGGTGTCACACGAGAGCAGGGATCTCTAATGAGACCGTATGTAATCTGCAAAAAATGCATCCCAAGCCACAGGCGAAGAAGCACAGTAAAGTTTGAGCACAGCTAAGAAAAATTCCCGCTACTTCAGCATCTAGTGCAGGTGTCTGTGTAAGCTATCACCAAGTCCCATGCCGGTGATCTCAGCTATGTTGTCAACAGGTTGCAAGAAGTGCTCGCAAGACTTTTTATAGTTTTCATGTGATTTAAACTCCTCGCTGAAAGAATTTTTTTTTTCTTTTTTTTTTTGCCTTTACTTTGTTTGCAGCCAGCCCTTTCTGATCCTGCAGGAACACTGTTGTTGGTAGTGTAAGGCAGGATTTTTTGGAGCAACTGGGTACCTCTGTACTGTGCTTTCCATAAACACCAGGTGTGTGTGTAGCGTGTCCCTGCCTAAATCAGCAAGAAAGTCATAACCCGTGGGTCAGAGTCAGGTACTAGTAGGCTCGTGGGGCGAGCGTTCTTTAATTACCACCCAAGACACACATCTTTTAACCTTTCACGTCGCAATACGTGATGGGTCTCCACATTAAAAGAAACTGCAAGGAAACCCACTGCATCTGCTTGGGTTTAGTTCAATCTGCCACGTTGTATTTCTGTGGGCTCTTCTTACTTATCTTTTTGCAAGTAAACAGCCAGTTTCAAATGGCAACAGTTGTCTCGGTTCCATTCGTGAGTAAAGTAAGTGTGTTTCCAAACCAACTTCAGAAAAACACGTTAAATGGGCTAAAACTTCTCATGAGTTTTGCATGCTTAAGCTTAAGTCACACGGTGCGTTCCATAAATCGGAACCCTGGCATTCCCTAAGTGTTTTAGCAGTCAGCATCCAGCTACGTAAACTAGACCAGACTTCAGATATAAAATATTATAGTTTTCTGCTTCAGGCTTTTCCCAGAGGCGGTGTAAAATAAATAGTTATTTGTTGTAATTGCAAGGCAAAGCCCCAAAGGATTAGACTGGAATCCTCACGTTCAGATAAAGTTGGACTAAACCTCGCTTCAGCGGAGACTCAGAGCAATAATGTGCTGGCACACGGCGTTCACCATCTGCATTCGGTAGCCATGAATATTTAAATTCCAGTGTTACTGGTATGGTTCGTATTAGGATGTCATGTATCGACGCATTCCTAAATTTTGCATGTAGCAGTCAGAAGGCAGGAGCTTGTTACGGAAATAGGCGGCCTGAGCGATTCTGGGGAGCTGCAAAGCCGTGCTGAGGGATACCGAGCTGGACGAGGGTGTTGGGATAGCGCTTTAAAGCCAGGACCACCCGGAGAAATACTTAGAAATCCAGGGTGGAGGTTTGGCGGATCGAGCCCACGTGGCTGGAGGGGGGTGCTCCCCGACACCGCGAGCCGATAATTAACGTGCTCCATGGATGGCTGCGGCGCAGCCGATGGGGCGCAGGGCTTTGCATCCCTGTCTCTTAATACCGGAAAAGGTTCAGGAAAAAACAGACAGCATCCGCGCCCTCCCGTGCGCAGCCATCCCAAAAGCTACCAGATGTACAAGACGTCCAAGTCTTCCGGTGAGGAAAATAAAGAGCTGAAGCCCTGGCAATGCAGAACAAGTACCAAGGTGCTAATGGAGAGGGCTAAAGAGAGGGAATCTTTTTTACTGTAGGGCACTGAGGAAGTAGCAGCATCCTCTACCCCCACTGCCTGAGCAAGCACACAAACTACTGCCTCTCATCTGTCAAGGACTGGAGAGTTGCTAAATCACACCTGTCTTCTGGAACGGGGCATTCTGTACTTGTAAAAATACAGATTCATGCAAGAACGATGGGGCAGAGCTTATTTTTCCTAGAGGAGGCTTAACGCAAAACTGGGTGAAGCCCTCCAGGATCGTTGGAAGGAAGCTCCTTCTCACGCCAGAGAAGTGCCCGAATTCTCTCACGGAACCGGCAGCTCCGCCTGAGTTACCCTAGAAGAAATAAAGTGGTGTCAAAAATGTGTCTGTTCTCACCGCATCTGCTAAGAACCTACAAAGAAATAAAGGCTGGTCAAAATCTGGAGGGGGGGTTGGACTGATATTAGAGCCCCTGTGAGAATCTCGCCAGGAAAATCCTCGCCAGGAGGAATCGCTCCTTTTCTGCCTCGAGTCTGTTTTACAGCAGTATTAAAAAGTGCCACCAGCGGTGCCACTCCTGACTACAAGCGAGGAGAGGGAGAGAAAAAAAGGCTTGAGTTTGTACTCCTACAGGCAGCAAACAAAGCTCTTACGGGTATGAACCTGTAACAGCCCCCTAGAGAAGCTGGTGAAACCTCCAGAGAAAGTTTTGCTGTGGGTTCTGACATCCAGCCCGGAGCGCACCTGTCGCTGAACAGTTGTTGAGCCGAAGCTTTAGGTTTGTGGCCGTTAATACAACATCTGATGTTTCCATCCCCTTGCTCCTGAATGTAGTCGTGTAAGAAGAGACAGGTGCAAGGGCTGAATTGTTCTTTGAGGGACAGTTTCTTGTAAAGCTCGGGAGATATTCAGTGCTTCGGTGGTAAATGAATCCAGTCAGAGTCTTAATCAAATCTCTCCAAACATTGTCTAGAAAGGGAACAAACAGAATGAATAATCAAAGCAAGGGAAAAAAAGAGGCAAGTCCTGGGGGGAAAGAAAAAAGGAAAAAAGGGTGTGTGGTTTTTTTTTTTTTAAAAAAAGCATGTTCTACCACAAAAACACACCGCTACAATTGGAAAGAAAATTCTTGAGCCGGCCCCAGTGGCCGCTCCCTGTGCTGCTGGAGATCAGATGTACGAAGCTGCAATTTTGTCTGGCAATTGGAGTGAGTTAAGGACAGGATGGATACCCGCCCACATTTTTTCAGCCTTCCCTCTGTCTCCTGACTTCTGTGGGCTTAAGTTACGTTCTTAATGCTGTTTCAACATCCTCGTCTTCTGTGCACGTCTCTAAGTGCTGCTCAGAGATCAGAAAAGGAGAATATCGCAAGGGACACTGTCAGAAGAGGTCACGGCGGGCACGCCTTGAAGAAACGTCGTTTGCAAACCCAGCAATCCTTTACCCAAGCTGCACCAGACGAGGGGAGTCTCACCCACCCGCTCGGGTAGGGAAGGTGCTAACGCCGTTCCTGGGTTGCTCCTTAACAGGTTTTTGGAAACCTGGCTTCACGTGCCCCATACAGAGCGTGCCTGTGGGTATATTCAAGAAAAACTCTTGGTTTCCCTGCGCCAGACATCCCTCGGTTTCTGGAGATCAGCAGTGTTTTCCTGGAAGTGTTTCCCAGGAGTCTTCCTGGAAGACAAATTTTTAAAACGCTGATGCCAAGGACTGCGTTTGTACCTATAGGAAGGTCGATCTACATGCTCTCCACACGTCAGGTGTTTTTCTCTCAGACATCCACTTGTCTCCATCCTGGGAAAGATTTCCCTATTTCCAGGTCCCTCTACTCCTTTCCTGCTGTGTTACTTTTTACACTCACCCTGGTCGTGTCCATCTTCCATCGCTCTCTCCTTTTCAAAGAGCGGCTGTCCTCAGTTCTGTCCCGCAGGTGGGAACACAGGCACGCACCAAGGTTTTGCACCTCCTCCTCCTGTAGGAAGTAGTGAGTAGCGCAGGCAGAAGACCACCCCCTCATTCTGTGCCTCTTCTCTCCCTGTTCATGCTTCTTTTCAGATAAGAAACCGTGATAACTTCCCTGCCTGCTCCTGGTGTTTCTCAAGGCAGTGTGTGTCCTCAGGCCGGGGCATATTTCAGCCTGGAAAATGCCAGCGCTGGTCCATAAAGCAACTTCTCTGTCATTTGGTTCCCGCGAGGAATCGTTGCTCCCAGGTCTGTATTTTGTCTCCCCGAGCTGATGGCAGGGAGGGCTGGAGCTGGTGCACAAGGCCTGGGAAGAGGACAGAAGGAGGACAAAAAGTCTGATATAAGGCACAAAGACTGATTTTGGCCCCCAGCTCAGCTGGCATCTGACGGATGAGTCGGCGCTGAGCGAAGGAGGACAGAGGTGTCCATCCCCGGCGGGTCTGTCCTATCTTTAGGCGGTGATGCCGTTACTGCGCCGGGCCGAGCAGAAGACACGTGCCCCATGCTGAGGGGTAGCTGGGAGCCACCGCGACTGCCGCCAAAGTCAGCTGGCTCGGGCGGCCACTCGTCACGCGGTGATTTTAGACTTGAGGAGCTCCGGGAGGTAACCTGATCAGAGTGGCGGTCGCTGAGGACTGGACGTTTTGGGAGCTATATTAAGAGTCCTGGAGCCACGCTAAAGGTTAGAGCAACTTTGTCCTCCTGTCAACGGAGACGTCTTGTCCAGTCATTCGGATGGGATGGGGAAAACCCTCTTCCTTCCTCTGCTGCTGCCTCCCAGCTAATTAATTCTGTGCTGGACACGGGCAAAGACTGCTCATCACCTCTAGCTGGGGAATGTGTCTGAAGCTGGATTTTATCCCTGCACGTCGGGGAGTGGCAGGTACCCCACTGGAGTGCCAGAGTGAAGGTGGCCTTCACAGACATCTCTTCTAGTGCTTTCTGCTTACCCGCATTGAACTCATCACCGTAAAGAACATGGGACTGTCTTCTCAAACCAGAAGCCCCGTGGTGACAAAACTCACTCTCCTTTTGGCAAAGAATAAAACCCAGCGTGGGAACAGCCTTCTGAAATTTCCAGTGCGCCAGGCACAGGTTTGTAGGTCTGTCTTCTTGGTGGCAAAAAAAAAACCCAAACAAAAACAACAACAAACCAACAAAACCTAGCAAACTTTTTTCTCATTAGCAAAGGTAATTTCTCTCGGGCAAGTCAAATTCCCAACGCTGGGGAGAAGCCTAGAGGGGAACTCGGAAGATTGCACACTTATGGGACTATAGATTTAAAAGCTCTCTCCTTATAAAGAAAGAAAATGGGTCTGTAGGAAGCTCTGCAAAGGCTGGGGAAGGCTCAGTCATGTTTTTCACTGGAGCCTGGTGTTGGTTTTATTCTCTGTATGGCTTGAACTTCTTTTCTGTTTTAGGGATTCTGGAGTTTATTAGCCTGGCAGTGGGGCTGGTGAGCATCCGTGGGGTGGACTCGGGACTCTACCTCGGCATGAATGAGAGAGGCGAGCTGTATGGGTCGGTAAGTTTAAGGTGGTTTTTTTTAAATGCCTTTTTCTAGATCACAGCACTACCTCGAGTCGTGTGTGAGGATACTGATTTTTAAGGATGGATCACAGTAAATTTATAACTAAATTTAAAAAACCCATGAGTTTTAAACAAAAGGGGAAGGCACATACTTCTTCTAACTAAAACAGATCAGATATAGAGGAAAACCACTGGGATTCCATAAAACACAAACAATGTTAAAGGACAGTGGAGGAAGCTGGGCTGGAGCCTCTGCTGGTGCAGCAGCACCTCTCCTGTCAAACCCCAAGGCTGCTCAGCAGTTTTGGAGTCACAGCTTTTACCAGAGCCTGCTGAAAAGGAGGGCACAAGCCTTTAAATTCCCTCCTGTGCTTTCAAACGCTGCAGCTCTGATGGTGAATCAACAGCTTCAGGATGGGTTCATTGAATTCTTGGACCCGTGTGCGTGTTAGGACGCACAAACAGGAGCAGGGTAACCCTTCGTCTGGAAGCAGGATTGACCTGAAGAGTTTTCTGGCCGAGGCTGCGGGGACACAGTCAAACCGCTGATCCAAACAGGGCAGAAGTCACGAGCCAGGTCCCCGAATAACCCTGGAGTTTAAAAATCTGGGCTACGTGGGTTGTACAATGAAGGCTTTTCGAAATCGGAAGCCACGACAGTGTTCTTAATTAAAGGTCCATACTGCAGCGCCCAGCAGCAGCATTAGCATTACAATGGTATTTTAGGAGACTACAGGACAAGGGTATTCTTACATTTTCAGCGAGTTTATTGTTTCCCTCTGGGCCCGTTTTGCCTCATCTGTGTGTCGATAGAGCCCGAGCCAGTCAGCCCTGCAGCAACACGTGGAGTCCCCTCGGGACGGGGACAGCTTTCCCGCCTCTCCCCGATAACCTTGTGCTGAGGGTTCTCTTAAGTTTTCCACCCATTTCAGAAATAATTAGAGCAGCGAAAGTCGCAGGCAGCACCTTGCGCCCTGCCCTGCCTGTACGGTGTTGGGCTCAGCGGGGACATCCTGGGGCTTGGCCAGGAGTAAATCACACCGTGCGGAGTCACCCTGGGCTCTCCAAACGCTTCCCGCAAACATGGTACCTCCAAGCAGCCCCGTGACCTGGGGGGAAGCAGCAGCCAGTTCAGCCAGCCAGCACTTGCCAACATGTTCCGAGTAGATGGCATCCTAAAAAAAGAACAAAACAACAAGGTCTGTATTTATCAATGGATCTGGGGAGGAGAAAGCCCCGGTTCCCCAGGTCTCAGATGGCAAGGGCTGTGGCTCAGGCTTTTGGAGGGCTCACAGCTCACCTCGGGGTTTATTTAGCAGCAAAACATTCAAAACAGGTTCTGAGCGCAGGTGAGCTCGTGGATCCTATTACAAAACATCCACTGCGGGCAGTAACATTTACTCGGCACGCTGTGTGCCCGAGATAAGACACACTCCCTACCCCAGCAGTTTAGGGTGTAAGTACAATGTTTGCAGTGCTGCAGCTTCCTACGTTGGCGGGCTGCCTTTCATCTGAGAGGACTCCCACGTCCCCCCAGGCGATCCCCCGTGGGGTGGGACGGGACATGGTGACACTGGCAAGGCCACCCGCGTCCTCGTGGGGCAGGGGGACAGCCCCGCTCCGCGCTGCGGCTGGACATATCCCCAGAACCAAAAAGCCATCGTGAAGAGGTCGCTGCCGCCAGCTCCCGGCTGTGAGGGGGCAAGGGGAGGGCTGGTTGTGGCCGCGGTGACACCCGCGCCATTGGATGCACAGCCCCGGGCTGGCACACGGTCATCGCGGCACCTGTCACCGCTGTAAATCTTCCCTGGGGTTGGACGTCCCCGGAGCGCGGCTCCCCATCCAAACCTCCCCGCGTCTCGGTGTGGGCTCCCATCCCAGCTCCCCGGCGCGTCAGCAGATGAAATCCCTCAGGAACGCTTTCATTGCATCGCAGCCTCCGCTCGGAGGGGCCTTGAACTTTCCAAGCGGTGCTTGCTCCCCTGTAAACGCTTGAGACGCGCTGCTCGCTCCTTCTCCCCCAAGAGAAGATTTTGGGGGGCGGGTGGTACCTGCCAGGGGGCAGCCCTCCACACAGGACACAGCCTGGCCACCCCAGCAGGCTCCAGCTTCAAACCCTGATCCCAGAGACCCAGCTGTCAGGTTTCGAGATTTGGTATGGCCTCGTTTGATTTTTTAATTTTTAGTTTTCACCCACCTTCTCCTCCTCTTTTTGTTTCTTTCCTCCTCCAACTTCAGAGGTCTTTGGGTCCCAGCTTTTACCCATTTCCATCTCCCACCCAGGGGAAATGTTGCTGGCAGCGCAGTCCTCAGGGCAGCCAGGAGGAGGTCGCTGGGAAAACTATTGGAAAACGAAGGAAGGAAGAAAAGATTTAGTTATTTTTATTACTATTGACACAACGTCTTTCTCTTCCCGCAGAAGAAGCTCACACGGGAGTGTGTTTTCCGGGAGCAGTTTGAAGAGAACTGGTACAACACGTACGCCTCGACCCTCTACAAGCACCCCGACTCGGAGAGGCATTACTACGTGGCTCTGAACAAGGACGGCTCCCCCCGCGAGGGGTACAGGACTAAGAGACATCAGAAATTCACTCATTTTTTACCCAGGCCCGTGGACCCCGCCAAAATACCCGCCGTGTACAGAGACCTCTTCCACTACAGGTGATGTTCCCCGCGGCCGCCCCGTATACGTGGGCTCCCAGGCTTTTTCCCAGAGCGCTGTATCAATAATCATTCCGTCACTCCTGTAAGCGTAGACGACGTAGGAGAGCACTTACCTTGAACCCAGACACTGCTGTTCCTCCTCGTTTCGAGCGTGTATCGAACCTGCGTTATTTATGGGCTGGGGGCAGGGGAAGGGAGGGATCCCTACATATAATCTTGCGTTTGCATTCACTTTCTTTGTTGCTACAAGAGAGGCCGAACGTTCGATGTTAAAGGAACGAGTGGGCGAGCAAACCTGATCACCAGGGGGGCAAAGAAATTTAAACACCACCAACAGAAAACAAAAAAAAAGGAGAAGGAAAGAAACCAAAAAGACCACGGGACTGCTGCAGATGCTGCTGCCAAGCTCGGGATGGTTCCCCGATGGGAAACAGCGCCCGGCTTCAGCAGCCCGGGAGTTTGCTACGTGGATGATGCTACATGGACCGGTCCTGACGCGGGGGTTTTTTTCCTGCTGTCGGGGTGGGAATGAGGCGAGGAACATTATTCAGATGTAAGCATGGATACTGTGCATAAGGACAAAACTATTTATAAAAATGTAT